AAAAAAAAAAAAAAGTGTAATTCTGTTTGCAAAGGTTGTATTCTACTTCTAACTAAGGCTTCAAAATATAACCTAGGCAAGCCACATTCTCCAACAGGAGTCCATGACTTGAGTGTACCAAAGTCTTGAGCCATCAGCTCAGAAGCAGGGAAGTAGGAACAACTGTCCTATTGTGGATGGCAGAGTCAACAGTGTGCTGGCAAGACAACCCTTCACTAAAGAAAATTAGCCTGCACAAAACCTCTAGCTGGAAATGATTCAAGTGGAACAACCCCATGTATATGTCTCTAACAGTCTAACTATGAATATTTCTGATTTTACAGGATATCTGTGTACATTTAAAAATATTTGCTCCACTATATCCACAAAGAAATAGTATTTGATGTAAATACTAGATTCTCAGAATTGAATACTAAAAAAGTAAAACAGGCAGAAGTCTGTGAGAATGTATCACAAGAAGATACTCGTTTTGACTACTTTCAACAATTTCACTGGAAAAGAATGAAAAATTTAAGAAGAATGAAAAATTTAAAAACCTTAACCTAGGTTTTTATGAAAACAGTAAGGAGTTCAGAAAAATTACAAGACTGATAGAAAAAAATCTTGTGACCCCAAAAAGGGGATTACTGGCCAGAGAATTTATTACAATAAAGTACCATTATTTTGGCTTTTTTTTTTAAGTTTATTTATTTTGAGAAAGAGAGGGTGTGAGCAAGTACCCATGCAAGCAGAGAAGGGACAGAGAGAAAATGCCAAGCAGGCTCCATGTGTGGTCAGTGCGGAGCCTGACACAGGGCTCAGACTCACAAACCATGAAATCATCACCTGAACAGAAATCAAGAGTTGGACACCTAACCGACTGAGCCACCCAGGTGCCCCTAGGCTTCGCTTATTAGATTTTTCTCCTTCACATATTCACTCTCTAGGGTCTCTACTGACTGTCACTGGAAAACAACTTCAATGTCATAATTGGTTTACAGGAAGTATTTACAGCAGAATGCAAGGAAGGCAAATGGGCATCTGTGAGGAAATGACATTGGAAAAATTCAGTTAATGACAAGTAACTGAACAACTTCCAACTTAGAATATGTTCCTTCTGGAAAAGCAAAGTTTTACACTGCATAGAATGAAAAAAAAAAGAACTAAGTTTTACACAAGTTTTTACACATTAGTCCATGGAAAATTTTAGTCTAATGACAAATTATTGAATTGTCTTTAGACTTTTGTGTTTAGAAATCCTAACGACATTGTTTTCTAAGGGAACTGCCTAGTCCTTTGAAGCAGGAGATAAGAGATTTCAGTGTACTGGATGGGCATAACTTCATCCATGCTGCATCTGTTTTCCACCTTCTGTGAGGAATATGGAGGGAAACACACAATGCTGACATTCAACTTGATACTACAAAGGGAAAGGTTCCTGGAGGACCTTTGTGTAAGGCCCTTTCACCACTTCAGTATACTAGGGGCCATTAAGGCACCTTGAAAACCCACCCTTGAATTCTGAATCTTGGCTCAGTCTATTTAGATAATAAAGAGACAAAGTAGTTTATTCATTCTAGCAATGGGCCCTGACCAAAATGCACCAGCAAAGAGATATACGTGGAGTTCTACTTCCCAACTCTCCGAAGTAGCTCAACCTACCTCTCTCCAAGCCTACTTTTCTAGTCTTTCTATCCATTGCTTGAGTCATTGATATCAATCTAACAAATTCCATTTGTGCTTAAGAGTTGGTTGGACTTTTTTTTTTTTTTTTTACAAGCGAAGTAAAATGGGGGTATTTTTCTCATTGGCCAAGCTTAAAAGTAGGTTCATCTTAAGTCACTCAACAATTACTGTCATTACCTTGTGGTCAAATCAGTGAAAATTAAAGGCAAAATTTTTTGAAGTTAGCATTTAACTTTAATAAAAACGCTAACCAGGGGCGCCTGGGTGGCGCAGTCGGTTAAGCTTCCAACTTCAGCCAGGTCACGATCTCGCGGTCCGTGAGTTCGAGCCCCGCGTCGGGCTCTGGGCTGACGGCTCAGAGCCTGGAGCCTGTTTCCGATTCTGTGTCTCCCTCTCTCTCTGCCCCTCCCCCGTTCATGCTCTGTCTCTCTCTGTCCCAAAAATAAATAAACGTTGAAAAAAAAATTAAAAAAAAAAAACAAACGCTAACCAATGCTAACACTAATGAGCTAATTTAATAATTGAATTATTGTATATGAGATAGATGCTACTTGTCACTTATATCTATGTTCTAAGTCTCTCATTAACAACTGAATATTCTGTCACTAAGGTAACAATTCTACAGGAAAATACAATAAAGGAAATTTATTAACATATCCGTAATATATTTACCACACTAATTTTAAGAACTTTCCTGTGGTATCCACCCCTAAATTGCTAGATAGCTAATTTCTATTCAGATTTTCAATAGAAATTATGCAAGAAGTTTGCCACAAAAAATATAATTCAATATCTTGCCCCATAGCTTTACTGAAGTATAATCAGCAATTAAAAATTGCATACATCTAGGGGCACCTGGATGGCTCAGTTAAGCGTCCAACTTCAGCCCAGATCATGATCTCGTGGTTCGTGAGTTGAAGCCCTGCATCAGGCTCTGTGCTGACAGCTCAGAGCCTGAAGCCTGCTTCAGATTCCGTGTCTCCCTCTCTCTCTGTACCCCCCTACTTATGCTCTCTCCCGCTCTCAAAAATAAACATTAAAAAAATTTTTTTAAATTGTATACATCTAGAGTGTACAACTTGATTTGATATGCATATACAATGTGAAGTAATCACAAGATAATTAACATATCCATCACCTCACAGTTACCTCTTTTTTGTGTGTGATAAGAACACTTGAGGGGCGCCTGGGTGGCTCAGTCGGTTAAGCGGCCGACTTCAGCTCAGGTCACGATCTCACACTCCGTGAGTTCGAGCCCCGCGTCAGGCTCTGTGCTGACCGCTCAGAGCCTGGAGCCTGTTTCGGATTCTGTGTCTCCCTCTCTCTGACCCTCCCCCATTCATGCTCTGTCTCCCTCTGTCTCAAAAATAAATAAACGTTAAAAAAAATATTAAAAAAAAAAAAAAAACACTTGAGATGTACCCTCTTAGAACATTTCAAGTACACAATACAGTATTGTTAAGTACAGTCATGTTGCTTAACATTAGATCTCCACGATTTATTCATCCTGCATAACTGAAACTTTGTACTTATAGACCAACATCTCCTCATTTCCCCCTCTATCTGGGCCAGAATTGGTAATAACCATTCTACTCTCTGCTTCTGTAAGTTTGACTATTTTGGATTCCACATATAAATGAAATTATGCACTATTTGTTTTTCTACATCTGATTTAGTTCACTTAGCATAATGCCTTCAAGGTTTATCCATGTGTTGCAAATGGCAGGATTTCCTTCCTTTTTTTAAAGGTGGAATAATATTCCATTGTGTTTATGTGTGTATATAGACACAGAATCTTCATATATCACATTTTCTTTATCCATTCATCCATCAGTGAACACTGAGGTTGTTTCCACCTCTTGACTACTGTAAATAAGGCTGAAATTAACACCTAAATGGAGATATCTTTTTGAGATTGTAACTCCATTTCCTTTGGATAAATACCTAGAAGTGGGATTGCTTAAACATAAGATAGTTCTATTTTTAATATTTTGAGGAACCTCCTACTCTTTTTCAAAGTGACCATACCCATCTATAGTAC